GGCTAAGAGCTGTCTGAAATCGTGTGAAGAAATCCTCCTCGGCGATAAGGCAAACATCGGGAAACTGAGCCCACTAAAGGCCTGTAAACCTCAAACTGCCAGGACAAGGAAATAAAACAAGAGACCAAACATGTGAGACGGCGCAGCGAAGAATGTACCCTCTCGGGTGGTATAATCCGACGGTTTACGATCATTTGCAGAGGGTGTTAAGAAGACCTGGAGGATAGGAGGGATGTAGGTAGGTATCGTATCCAGAGCTGTTAGTTTTTTTGTTTTTTTTGGGTTGTTGTTTTGTTTTGTAGTTGTTTTTTTTTAAAGAGACACGGGTGGTTGGTTGGCGGGTGCTGTGGTGTGGTTTGCTCCTTCTTTCCTATCTAATATCTATCGTCATTCTCTCTCCTCCTCCTCCTTTTTTGGGTGTTCGTTACTCTCTTGTAACACCTCTAATCTTCGGCACTTATATCCCCTTATTGTGTTGCAAGTGCCGTAAAACTCTCACTAAAACTGAAACTTGAAAAATAATAATAATAATAGACAACATTTGTATAGCGCAAATCCTCGCTCAACAGCAAGCTCTATGCGCTTCACAATCTATACTATTACCCAAGCAGACCTGAGAGCATTCTGAAACAACCTCAACTTCCTGGGAAGCTACAGTGCAAGTGCCACTTATAGGAGCTAAACTAAAACACTAACATACTGACAAGATCTTTCGCTGTCTATGGCCGGGTATCCATTCCCACCTGGGTGAAGTGAGGAAATTTCATGTAGAGTGCCTTTCCCAAGGACACAACGTCGGGCCCGCGGCTCGAACCCCCGTACCCGCAATGAGACACAATGATTATAATGGCAACCTACTACGCTACACCGAGTGCTTTTTGTGTAAAAATACGAAGCCTGTAGCTTTTTATATCAATCAAATATAAAAGTGGGTATTTGAGGTTATGATTTTTTTTCATTTTTTTTTTTTGGTAAGTGTTTTACGGCACTTGCAACACAATAGGCTCAAAATAAAAGTGGGTATTTGAGGTTTAAAAAAAGGGTATCGTCGACAGCAACACACGCGCGACTTGAAGGTTAATCTGTCTTCTTTGTTATGAAAGAAATGTAATGTCATACTGGAACAATCCCTTACAAAGATCATTATTGTCATCACACATGATAAAGTTTAAAAAATCGCCCAAAACAACACAAAAAACAACAACAAAAAACCCCTCCCACCACCCCCCAAAAAAAACAAACAAAAAACCCACACAAAAAACAACAAC